AAAACAGAGGACTTAGATCTCATCCAAGTGAGCATCACTTAAGTCGAGAAAACTTACTTTGAGCTGATCGAGGTAAAGACGTATAAGATCAGCAGCGTACTGTTCAGGATTATACCGTCTGCTAGTGGAGTAGTATTGAGGCATGAAGTAGTTATTAAGATAGTCATTGCTTCCCAAACTAATAGAGTAAATACATTTACTAAGGTAATCAGCTGCACTATTCTCATCTCCAAGAATTTGCACCACTTGTGACACTGTGTTCTTATGATTCTGTACTTGCCCACTAAATGTTATTCTTTGTCCCTATCATTCCCCAAACCAAAACAGAACTGAAAAAGTTACAATATTTTAAACCGAAACAGAGAAATTTTCCGAGGTGTAAAGTGTGTTTTTGTTTACCAATTGTTGACCGGACTCTTCTCTGATTCCGGCAGCTGCAGATGCATAGTTTACTCCTCGAAGTATCTGCTGGCCAGGCGCAGCACTATACGCAGGAATGTAGTTATCAAATCCAAGTAGCTCAGCTTCATTATATCACAAGAAATGTCAGAAACCCATGTTACATTCTGATTATAACATTTCAGTCTTACTATAGTTTAGTTATGACAAGATGAGAGAAGCAAAATCTAATCTTTGAGCAATGGTGATAAAGAAAGGCAAATAACGCTTTTGTTTTCGTAAAGAACAAGGATAATTTAAGAGGGGTACCGATTTCGTCGACGGTGGTTTTTCCGTTGGAAAAGCGGCCGGTTGGACCACCCATATCAATGCCGTAAGGGAAGTAGTCAGCTCTTGCCATAGAAGCTAGACCATTGTTGTTTCCATTATCAACCAAAGAATCACCAAAGATGAAGTAACATGGAACTTGAGGCTCTGCTTTTACCAAAAACCCTAAACTCAAAAACAAAACCAACATAGAAATTAAACACCATTTCCTCAAGTAACTCTCCATTGATCTCAAAACCAAAAAACAACCAAGTGATTTTATGTGTGGTATAACACAATGTTGTTGATGAAATAAGTGTATAATTTCTTTGAAACAAAACAAATGGGAAATGTAGAAGTGGTGGTGGTTGTGGAATGTGAAGAATCCAAAGGAGTGTTGAGTCTATATATGGAGTCGGAGAAGTGTAAGTTGTGTTATTTTCTTTCTTTCTTCGTTGGCTTTAGTTAATTTTCTGGAATCTCTAATTTATTTTAAGATGATGATTGGGTCCAATTAAAATAAATTGTATAGTTTTTGAGAATTATATATAGTAAGACATATAATGGGGTTAAAGAAAGAATAAAACTACTCTATAAATGTATCTTCCTGGTAAATGGATTTGTCGTCTCACAAATAACTTTATTGTTAGAATCACGATGGTTGTGATATAATATTTCATGCACTATCGATCCTATCGTCCGGTAATTGATAGAATTTTTTAAAAGAATTTTTTAAACATTGTATGCCATTTTTTAATGGACTGGTTCTTGGATCGTGATCCTGAAATTAGTCTTAAATGGTCCTCGTTGTCACTAACTGTATACAATGCTTCAAATTTGACCCAAAAAATTCCGATTTAAACCCCTGTGTTTTTTATTAGAAAAATATGTTCACATTTATTACAGAAATAAATAACAGATTCCAATTTTAAAAAAATACGTGTATCTAATTTAAGAATTTTTTTTAAGTACAAATTATGATGTGATGTGTTAAAAAAATTACTACTACTGTATTAGTTGATTTACAACTTACTTAGTGAAGTCATTTTGAAAATTTTTGAAAAAAAAATAGAGATGGATAATTTTAATTTTAGAGTCAGTGTATACAAGTTCGAATCTCCGCTTCATATAAATGGTTTACGCCTTAACATATATCACCAGTTGTTGGTTTCGACTTCCGAGTTGAGAAGAAAAGTTAGCTGAAAGTTATATTTTTTTGTCAAAAAAATGGTAAATTTACACCAACTTGTATATTTAACTAGGGTATATTGTTAGTGAATATGAATATTTTAATGGTATGATCGGTGACTTCATACAATTTAGAATTCTAGGTAGGCCATTAATTTATCTGCACTAAACTTGATTTTTTCTAATTCAAATGAATGTTGTAATTTAAAAGAAGAAAATTTCTATAGGTTTCAGTTTAAGAAAACAAAAAAAATCGGTTGCGGAAAAAATGTACTCACAGTTGTATAAGTGGGGGAGTTA